TCTTCTTTGTCAACCTGACCTCAACTCTTCTTCATCAACCTGTCCTCAACTCTTCTTCATCAACCTCAATGCCCTACAGTGGGTGCTCCCTTTCCCAAACATCTAATGCCTTGCAATCCTCCAGATCCTTCTTTGTCAACCACTCATCATCCTCTGGTCCATACCCTAACCACTGCACCAAATACTTCTTCGTCCTCCCAACCTGCTTCTCATCCAAGATCCACTCAATCAAGTTCTCCAACTGACCATTCTCCATGACCACAGGGCCCAGGTGAGGTAGCTTGCAAGAGGGGAAGAGTGTTGTATCATTAGGCACAAAGGTGCATAGTTGACTGACGTGGAACGTGGTGCATGCATTGGCTGCACAAGGCATGTCTAAGACGTAGGAGGAAGTTTCGGGCGAAGCCGACAAGATGGTGTAGGGGCCATCATACCATGGCATAAATTTGGCTACATGATTTGTTCCATTAGTAAGATATTCATGATGACGATGTTTCATAGACAGCCAAACCTTGTCCCCAACTGAAAACCTTGGGTCAGGGATGCAGCATCAATTAGCCACATGAGCTTGAGCCACCTTTGCCATGAGTAAGTTGTCATGCACTTTGAGGACGTCCATCTCCAGATGAGCCAAAAAGGCAGCAGCATCTGCATGTTCTGTTGTCTCAGTGTCCAAAGTGGAGATGGGGGGTAAGAGACATGGAGAATGACCAAGGTAGAGCTGAAATGGGGAGAATCCTGTACTATTGCTAATGGTGTTCATAATATGGAAATGTACATGAGGCAGGGCCTTGACCCAGCCTTTCTGGCTACGTTCAACATGGAAGCGAACACATTGGTTGACTGTCTTGTTGGTGTGCTTGCTTGCCCCATCAGTCTGGGGATGGTACGATGAAGACATCTTGAGTTTAACTCCTGTCAACTTGTGAAGGGACCTCCAGAAGCGAGATAAGAAAAGCTTATCTTGATCTGAAATGACCTCCAAGGGAAGGCTGTTTTCACAATACCAATGATCAAAGAAAAGTGTAGCGAACTCCGAGGCAGTGATGGAACTTTGACAAGGCACAAGGCGTATGTCAGCGCCAAGGCGGTCCATCATTGTGATGGTCATATTGGAGCCATGGTCCTCTGGTAAGGGACCGGTGGAGTCAATGGCCACAGAGTCTCCATGAGCATCAGGGACTGGCAGGGGATGTAATGGGCCCACCAGTGCCATAGTCAGAGACTTGTTGTGCATGCAATGAGTGCAAGCTGGGATATATGCAGATGCAAGGTCACGATGCATGTTAGGCCAGTAGAACGAATTACGGAGAGCCACATAGGTCTTGTCTGTGCCAAAATGGCCTAAGGTGTCATGGGCGAGGTGAAAGAAGTGTTCTCATAGTGAATGTACATGGGGGATCACCAAGTGACCTGCAAGGTACAACAGGCCATCTCATTCCTGTAGACCAGGCAGTGAGTCAAGAAGAGAGAATAGTTGCCGACAGAAGGGATCTTCTGTGTATCCTTTCAATATCTCCACTGTCAGTGACTTGTCCACCTTGACCATGGACACTGCAGCCATGGGGGGGGTGTCATCCGAGCATTGCAACGGGGCGTCAGCACCCACATTACACTCACCTTGAATATAACGAATTGTCAGATCAAACTGGGACATGTATTCTTGCCAGCAAGCTTGGCGCTGGGAGAGGTCACGTTGTAGGGCAAAGTGCTGAAGGGTTCGATGATCAGTATACACCAACACTGGGGTCCCAAGCAGCTCGACCCTCCACTTCTTCAAAGCACAAATGATGGTGAGGAGTTCCTTCTCATGCACAGGGTAATTGAGTTCAGCACCATGAAGGGGAGTGGAATTGAAAGCAACCGGCTGAGCCGTCTCCCAAGTGGGTCCCCAAGAGAGAATTGCCCCAGTTCGGAAGTCCAAGGCATCGCATGTAAGGAAAATGCAGTTGTCACCTGGATTATCATGATCAATCATCGTCAAACAGTGGGGACTGACCATGAGATCTTTGATGGCCTGGAAGGCCTGCTGATGGTCATCATTCCAGACAGGGAACTTGAGTTCTGTGGCCTTGGTTGTCAACACATTCAGAACATGTGTGTGCTCTGCGAGATTGGGAAGATGATCTGCAACATAACGAACAAGGCCCAGGAAAACCCACATGTCCATAACTGATCATGGTGCCAGCCAATCGAGGATCCTTGCAATCTTGGAAGAGTCAGGCTCAATTCCATGAGCAGAGACACAATGGCCAAGAAACAGAACTTCAGTACAAAACAACTGAGTCTTCTTAAGAGAACAATATAACTTAGCATCATGGAGAGCCTGGAGGACCACACGGACGTTGTGTTCATGTTCCTCAAGCATCTGTGACCAGATAATAATGTCATCAAGATACACGTGGCAAATGCAACCGATTAGATGACGGAGGGCAGCAGACATCTGATGCTGATGAACCACAGGGGCATTCCGCACCCCCATAGGCATGACAGTCCACTCGTACAGGCCCCAAGGTGTGTGCATGGCTAACCATTTAATGTTGTCTGGATGAACCTTGGTCTGAAAGAAGGCATTGGTCATATCCAGTTTCGCAAAATACCTGCCTTTAGCACAATCATGAAGGATCTCATTGATGCAGGGTAACGGGTGGTTATCAGGGATCGTGTTCAGATTGAGTTGTCAAAAATCATTGACCCAGCATGGCAACGTGGCAGGATCCGCCTTTGGAATAATGAATGTGGGTGAAGAGTGAGTACTATTGGAAGGCCATAAATGCCCTGCATCCAGATGTTGTTGTAGTAACGTTTTCCACACTTCACGATACTTCTTTGGACAATCGTACGACCAAAGCTGGATCACCTTGTTGGCATCCTTGGGCTGGACCTGGAAAAGCACATCATCAGGCAGGGCATCCATGGGCAGGATGTCACTCAGGAAGCAATCAGCGAACTCAACCTTGAGTCGTGCATCGCACTTTGTCAGCTCCTCAGCAGCTGCAAGGACCTCAATGTGATGCTGTACCATGCCAATAACATCCACCCCACAGACTGGGGTGGACGCCACCTCCACAGGTTTGTGATACATGGGCAGAATGCTATGTAGCTCTGCAAGGACCACACCCTTAAGTTGCTTGACAGCCTGAACAGTAGGGGTTACTGGTGAGGGGACAGGAGCCAGGACAGGAGTTGGAGGATTCAACAAGTCATAACCAGTATCTTTATTAATACATGTACAGAGAGCATGATCGACGATGAGCTGATTATGTGCAAGGAACGGGAGTCCTAACAAGAGTGGTGTACATAAATGGGGCACAATGATTGCGCAGATGGACTGAGAACGAAAGCGTGCATCCGGGGAAAGACATGATAGAACAATGTAACTCTGCAGAGACATGACCTCCTGGTTACCAGAAGAAAGTGCTACTGAAACATCAAGGGACTTGTGCAACTGACGGTGCCATAACCCTAGCTTCGAGACAAGGGTTTCATCAATCAGAACTAAATGAGAACCACTGTCAATCAGTGCCTTCACAGGTAGAGGGAAGGTCACGTTAGGTCCTTCCAGGAGGCAGGACCACCAGAGATGGGGAACAGAAAGAGGTGTGATGTACTCTTCACCTGAGTCAGCTCCATCCCCCAGCACAGCAGAGGGCATGACAACAGCAATGGCATCTGTGTCATCATCCACTTCAGTGATGCAGGAGTGCTTCGCTGCAGGCTCCTCTTCGATGATTGTGGCAATAGGTTTGGCACATTTCTTATGAGCAGCCTCAACGTCGGCAGCAGTCAGTGCTTTGTAGTTTTTTGCATCAGGGAAATCATTTGGGCAATCACGTGTGGTATGGTTTTGAAAGAGACGGTGGCATTTGAAACAGCCTGAGTTGTCCCGAAGGAGCTGGCATTCCTCAATGGTGAGGGCAGGAGGGCAAGTGTGGGTGCGACCATCTGGTGCCTTCGAACCCAACACTGCAGTGTTAGCTGAATGGCTAGGTTGAAAAGGCTTTCTACGAAGAGCTGCATCGAGTTTTGCAGCATCGTGAACACATTTCTCATCAAGCAAGCGGACCAGGTCAAGCCAAGCATGGAACTGCTTCTCACAGTGGCCACCAGACAAGCAATATTCTGCAGTGAGATCCAGGTGCATGTGAGACTCTAGGTGAAAATGAAGATGGTCTTCAGTGAGGTGGAACTCGCTACCCCATAACAGAACATTCAGACTCTCCACCTCAACAGCCCACAAGTGGAAGGCTTTGTTACCCTGCGTTGATGAGAGCATTTTCTGCTGGATAGCTTCCACCCAGTTGCTGGGAAGCCAGTACATATGGACTTCATCCATAAACTCCGAGAAGGAGAGGGCAGTCAGTTGACTGCCATTGTTACTAATCCAGTCCTGCACACAAGGATCCAGAAGGTGACCCACAACTTTGGTGACCTGAATGTCCTCTGCTACACTTTTTAGCTGAAAGTAATTCTCGCAACCTAGTTCCCAGCTTTGCAACCCTTCCGGGGTGATGTCACCTGCTGTTAAGAAGGGAGGGGTTTTTCCAGGAGTGGTATTTTTGCATCGTGCTACCTGAGACTGTGTTGAGGACATCGCGAAGACAGGGAGAACCACTGTGAAGCTGTCAGACGATGATGAGCTACCCATGGAAGTCAGAGACAGTGGAAGGGATGCTGGTAACGGGATGTGTGCAGGGGAGATAGGTGGAGACAGAGCGGTGCTGGGTGGGGCCATGGGCAGTGGTGTAGATGGCAGGGGAGTAGAGGCAGCATGTGACATAGACAGCAAAGACAAAGACGAGGACAACAGTGATGACAACAATGTCGCGGGCAGAGGGTTATTCCCTCGACTATGGGTAGTCAAGGGTACAGGGACAGAGGGAACACGACAGGACAGCAGTTTACAGGATGGCAGTTTGACACCTCTAGCAGGTGTCAACACACACTATGGCACATTCAAAAAAAGTGGAACTCACTGCTGTGGGGTGAGTACACTCAGAATGGCTCACGACGATGATAGAATGTGGACAGGCATGTGGGGATTAGACAATCAAGCATATACGCTGATACAAGATGCTCAACAGAGCAAGTGAGAGGAAAGAGAGAAAAAGAAGAGATGACCTGCACATACATGCAGCACCAGTATATATACCCCCAGGGTCCAAACAGTACAACACAGCAGGAGGGATCTGCATGCCCAGACAAGGGCACGATCGAGGGAATAGGAGATGTGATGATGTGAAGCAATAGCATGAACAGTGCGTATGGTGCGTGAGTGGCAAGCGGTAAGTGGTAAGGTAAGCAAACACTTACACCTTCCCTCAAAGTGTTTCGACGGTGGCGTAAGTGTACATTCGCTGATCTTGAAGCTCATTTAAGGCAGGACCCTCCTCCGGAATACAGGGATGTCACAGGGCTGAACTTGGAGGAGATTGCCGATCTGGTCGGCACTTGAAGGTGGCCGCCATTGACAAGCAATTCCTACAGATCAGAGGAGCTCTCTCAGAGACTCCTTGATTCGAACGACCAATTCAAGAAATTTCGTGAAGCGGGTCGCCCTTTCTTGCCGCATCCCATCTGTCGTTGACGATTACCGCGTATCCTCCGGAGCTATGTACGCTTGTTTGGAAGTCGAGAGAGACAGCGGCGAAAGCCAGTGCTGTTACTAAAGGTGACATATTCTTGATAAGGGATTTCCACACCGTTGACGGATGATGGTCAGATTTCTGCGGCGATTTGTTGACTCATTTGTTGGAGGCGGACATCACTAACGATGAGAAGGTTAAAGAACTCGAGGCTGTCATCAAAGTATGCAGCGTCCTTCACGTTTTGCTTTCTTGTTATATACAAATTATCCCCAGCATTGGCTGGGGAGCGGCGAGATTGATTCCCAGATGGAACAAGACTTTGATAATCTCTGCGATGCACCAGGAGACTTCTCGACCATCACACGCAAGCGACTGGAAGATGCACAAGCTGCGGAAAAAGCTCTGAAACCTGAAACTAACGAGCTGAACAAAGAAATCGCTCGATGCGAATCGGGGTCCAGCCGGTAAATCGTTAGGTTCTCCACTGAACTCTGCTCAACTGAATTCCTGTTGGTTTCCAGTGCTCCAACCAACCTTTCGTTGGCTAGTAATCTTCTCCTTTAGCAGTGGATCACTGTATCTCACGCACCTCCATAGCCAAGTTCAGTATTACCCTTTGCTACCTTGGCTGCCGACGCGTATCAGCGAATGAGGCAATCTTGTCAGCAGAATGGAATTCCCTCCACATTGTGGGCTTCGTTTGAGGTTTGAGGCGATGCGATTCTCATCTGACATTAGTATTCCCTCCCCGCAGATACATGGGTGTGTGTACTGGGGCTGGTTTGACATTCACACTAACTTCCGAAGCTCTTCGTGTCTCTATCTTGGCAAGTAAGAGCATTTTGCTTGGGTCACCAGGTGGCGCCATTGAAGCGATTGTATGCGAAGTGTTTTTATGCTTCTTCATTGTTTACTTACACTTATTTGTGCAGTCCACATCGCTCAAGGAAGGTACCGCTAATTTGTTACACCTCTTAGAGGCCCTGGCGGAGGTACGCCTGAGCTTGGATAGTTAGGAAGGCTTACACATACCACGCCAGTCGGACGCGCCGAAGATGCGCTGATGTTGCGACTCGATGCTCGACTCGATGCTCTGCGTACAACTCAGTGTGCAATCGATAAGAGTACAGCGATACTGAAGGACGTCGACAACCTGAAAAGTAACACGAGCACCCTTTCCAGTGAACTTACGTGTCTAAACGATGTTTATAATTTGGTATCTTTACTTCTGGTACTATCTAATATCCGCTGACCTTCGCATAAAAGCTCACCAAAGAATCCCTCGAGTTGGTAGACCTGATGAACACAGACCCACCGGGCATGGATTACGTTAGTCGACTCATTTTTCTCTTCGTTTGATAGTGTTGATGCACTTTTAACACCAGAATCCCAAGGTTTCTGCCTTGCGCATCACGTATTCTCCTCTTGGTATTGCGTTAGACAGTTATGCAAGAGCTCAAAGGACGCAATGCAATGAGCGGTAAGGGCGACACTCGTCCTTAAGCGATGTTTGATACGTGGTTTGCCGTATCTCAACTACGAAGTATTGAGGAAATTCACTTCGTATTCTTACGTATGTTATCGATGATGCTGTGTAACTGAGAAGAACAAGTAACCCATCCAATGGAATGGAACGCCTTGCGCAGCCCTGCATCGTGTTCAATACAAACAGAACGAAAATGCATGCAATTCTAGGTGGGTTGAGGCTGGCGCCAATCACCAGATGCGCATCAGGACTATCCGGACCAATTCATAAGGTTCAGATACCGGTATAGTAACCACTTGACGCCGTCTTCAAATGGCCTCTTCACATTTACGTTCAATCTCCCCGAAGAATGGCTGCAAAGTTTCGATCTCCTAGCCGAAGGAAATAACGGTTGTCTGAATGTGTCCTTGTCTGGTGCACTATGTACATTGCAATCAAATGAATTTATTCCAATCCAAGTTAGAGGCGCACTGTTCCCATCGGGATGCGAAGAGTGACTGAAAGTGTCCTCTCCCTTGTAGCCGAAGGGAATCCGAACATGCGAAGGCCTCACTCATGTACCCTAGCACGATGGCCTAAGATTCATCTCCTGTGTAGAGTATGACATTTAGCAAGTTACGATTGCGCGGCAATTATGAACCACCTACCTCCCTTCCATCGTCCTCTGCCATTAGGTGCTTGAATTGACACTATGAGGTTCAACGTAGGTGTCAGCAAGCTGAAGCAGGACGTTGGACAGAAACTGAAAGCCTCCGACATTGGGGACACGCAAAAACTAACGCCAGACTTGGCTAAATTGCGAAAGCTCGCGCCAGGGCTGGACGACCTGAAGAACATGATGTCCCCAGATGCAGATAAATTACAAAAGCTTTCGCTCGCACTGAAGGACGTCCAAAATCGTATCCCTGGCGTAGAAGATATCAGTAGCCTTATTAGACGAGGTGCCAGCATCCAGAAACTGGTCCCATTTTGGGGAGGTGACGATGAAACAGAGTCAGATAGTGAAGATCGGGCGATCGCTGCGCTGTAAGAATCAGAAGAAAAAGAAAATTATAAAAAGGCACAGAAGGTCCTCGCCGCCCCGCAGTCAAAAGCGACGCTTCAGAACGAGATCGAAAATCTTGGGGACGCCGCCGTAACGATTGGGCTTTCATTCGAGAGGGTTGCTAATGCTCTCGTCGATGCCCGAAACACTGCGGAGACGCCAGAACAAGCTGGTGATCTTTCCAGCTTCGGGGAAACTTGGTCTAAGCACCAACAGGTGTATCCGCATCTAATGACTTCAGAAACTATTTCCTGACGCTCCGATAGGAATGGGTCACACTACTGCAGATGTCACAGGAGGTTGTAAGTCGAGCCCGGCTCACTACAGCTGGTTGGTGTTTGTTGCTTTCGCTTCTGACTGCCATGTCTTGACCATCCCAAGATTTCGTGGAGAGCTTCCTCAAGGTCCTGGCGGATGCTACCGTTAGCCTTGACGCGAGGAAAGAGAAGATAAAGGCTTACCAAGCTGTAGGTTTAATGCAGTACAAAGCGAGTAGCAGCCAACTAACTTGTCTGCGCAGAAATTGAAAGTGGGAATGAACGAGTCCAGGGATCTAGCCCGAGGTTTCGTAGACCTGCAGACCTGCATTGGCAGTTTTTATAAAGGCGTCACGGATTGGATGAAACAGAGAAACAAACTTAAAGAGGACATCCTTCAAATGGTCGCGGACATCAAAACCACAAAGGAAAACATTCAGAAGTGCATCGCAGTTCATTGTTTTTAGTTTTCCGACCGACGGCAACCTTGCCACCTCCAACGTGCAGATTGACATCTAAAGTAAGTGTCATGAAGCCCTAACTAATAGAATTCCGCACCCACCTCGCTGCAGGCATTCTTAAGTGCGACCTCTGCACTTGGTCTCGGGACCTTAGCAGCTGGAGCTATTGCTCTCGGTATTCTTTGTCCCCTACTATGGGTTGGAGCTGCAGTGGGTGTATATGTGTGATCCACGGAGGACTGATCGGCAAGTCAGTCATGTAGTTTTCAGGTGTACGAGCAGTACAGGAAGGAAAAACATTCTTAGACAATCTAAAGAAGAATAGTATGTAGCACGTCTACGGCGATTCGTTAATGATACTAACCACATTTTATATTCGCCGAAAGTGGTGACGAAGTTCAGCGCAAACGCAGCGAATTGGATGCCAAACTGTTGGCTCTCGAGGGACTGAAAAGAATGCAAGTAATCCTGGAACCTGCATTGTCCGACTTGAGCGTTATCAGGAATAAGCTTTGGGTGGTCTCTCAAATCTGGTCCTTCGTGAGCGCCATATCCAGGCTTATGTTTCGCAAAACCTCCGGAACTCACATTTTTGGGTACCCAGATCCACGCAGACATAGTGGGGATTGAAAAAAGCTTGGATATGGCTAGCAAGGGAGCAAGGGAGGCGGTGAGTGACAGTTTGCATGAAAGGGTTTTCTTGAACAACTTGCGCCCTAGTTATTCAAGGCTCGTTTGAAGACAGTGACATCCGTCTATTCGCTGTTGGGTGAAGCTCTCAGTCAATACGAAACCGCTGTTAAAGCGATTGCTTTGGGAGGATTAGAGTCCAGTTGGCGAGCCGAAGACAGACATGGTGAGTTCAGTGATATTCGAATATTCAGAAACTGCTTTGCGGTATGAAGAGTGTATCAGGGCTAATAGACATTTTCGAGCTTCTCGGGTGAACTTGTGAGCTTACATAATCAAAACCCACTAGTCATTCACGAAGTGTCGAGCTCGTTTCACAGATAGATTAATATGTCTAAAAACATCTTGACATAGAGACAAGCATTAAGCAGAGGACTTGCTTGAAATATAGTGTCAACATTCTGGATAATCTTGACGATGGCAACCACGACGTATGCAATTCTGTCACACCGCATCTGGACTCCATATTTGTATACCCCCTCGGCGCACGCGACACACTTTTCAAGCTCCATGTTTGCTAATCCACTGACGATGAGGAAGTTTGGAAGTTTGTACTCGGAATGATACCTTGGGTGCCGGTGTCGGTGGCATCCCTCGAAATAGTTGCTCCTAACCACTTGGCTTGCTCTGCAGCCCGAGTGTCGAGCAACAACTGATATTTCGATGTAGCCACTCCTGCATCAAACATGATCCTAGAACTGTATATTCAGCAATTCATACCGACGCCATATGCCAAATAATGTCACCTACCGCTGCAAGTGAGCTTGATCGTCACCTAGGTCTGTTAATGAAGGCATTACCAAGTAAATTTCCTTTAATCCCTGCTGGTGGCGGTGACATTTTCACGTTTTAGAGTGTATGGCACCACTTACACTAATGCTTCCTTCCCTCCGAATGCAATCCACCACCTGAACCGTGTCAAATGCTGTCCATGGAAACAAATGATTGGGCTTACCTTTGGTAATAGTTGGTCCACTTCTGCACAGATTCCACACCAACAAAGCCACAGGATCTATTAATGAATGGATGATCAGTGGCGAAAGATAACAAGTTGATGATGTCCTTGCCTTTCCTGTGATGTCCTCCTCCAGCGCTCGTTGTTCATCCTCATCTTCTGTAGCACTAAGTTTCGCTTGGAGCGCCTTTATCTCTTGTACCATAGAGGGAGTATTCAGTTGTCTACATAAGGCGTTCAAGAGGTGGAGTACTGAACGGTGTAGATATGGTACCAACCTGTCATATGCCATGTGGCTCACTTGGCCTGTCCGTCTGGAGCCAGGAAGGATCAAGGGTATAAAAAGATATATTTTGAGGTGAAAAGACTACTCACTGCAACACGCCTTGAAGGTATATATTGTAGAAGGTGGTACAAATATGTTCAAGTAGCTTGTTGTGATTAGGATTAGCCCCAACGCTTTCTCGCCAGTAGCAACACTTACACCAGCACTCAGAGTGTATGCTATGGACTTCAACTCATGCTGTACTTTTTGCATTTCATCAGCATACCGGCCCGGCGCATCATCCCTGGCACCAAGAGTCCGGCACCTCCTGTACAACCGCGGTAACATAGCATCAAGGCGCGGGTTCTGACCAGCATTGAATTGCTGGTTGCCCATAAATAGATTGCATGTCATCATCCAATCGATGCATGACAGTTTTCGTGGGTGCGCTAGTAAGTCATCCTCTAAAGCTGCAGTGTGAGTTTGTGGATGAATATGCTCAACTGTAACTGGCCAACCTTCTGTACTGCCTACAGAGATCTCACTGAGTGAATCAGTTCCCATCATCCAGGGGAACCTTTCGAAGAACGTTATCTCCCCGACCTACACCCGGTGGTGGGTGTGAGCAGGACGGGTTAGTGAAAATATGAGTACGCACATAATTTCTCAGATGCTGGAGACCGAATATATCCGAGAAAAATCTGATTGTTCCGTTTTTCGTCTGTTTATTTTGTCGCCACCATTAGCATGGGCTTGTGTTTGATAGTTGTCCAACGTACCGCACATTTGTGATGGGCATCGTGTCCTGTTGGTTGGTTCTGCAGATAAGGTGATCAGTACAGGCAAACACCATGTTTGAGAAGAAAACCTACCATATTTATGAGGGTGTAAAAGTGCTCCCTACAATTCGAGACATAGCATCAATAACAGCACACAGAGTCGTGCCATGGGCTTACCGAATACTTTGGAATTGTTCCCTCCTCCGTGTGCAGGGCGGTTCTCTTCGCCAAACTTGCGGGCTTGCGACAGTATACAGTGGAATCAAAATCCGTGGCTCTGTGGAGTGGTTCCTACTTTCTGAGGCCAGGTCTGATACTCAAAGTCAAAAGGTGAGCAGTGTACGATGATTGCGAAGAACTCGCCGTCCCCAGAATCCCATCGCTCTCCATTATCGTCAACTCTATAGAAATCGGAGCATTGGATGACTGTTACTACCAAATGTTTGCCTGCAGCACGGGTGGATAAGGCTTCTAGTAGTAGCACAAAATGTTCATTCGCAGGAAGCTGGAGGCTCTTCGGTTGACATAGCGCCAGATGTTTTTCTTCGTCATGATATGCCAGGGCAAGATCAATCCAATTCTCCATGCGATTACTTAGCCTTAAATAGCTGGATACGCGAGACACCCTGGGGCGATAAGCTGAGTTCGTGGAGTCAATGCCAGCGGTCCACATATCCTCAAATATATTGCCAGTGCGATTGAAATTGCCATTAGAATAGTCACCGTAATCACCCAGCTGGTTTTATCAGGCTCCACATGAACATGAGTATGAATGACTTAACTCACCGCAATCCGTTGACCACAACACTCGTCAAGCCGGCCCCGCCATCCATCCAGACTCAACCGATATGGATGGAAAACCGTTTTCATAAGCCCTGGCATATGAGGGCCACCGTAATCATTCTATAGTAATGCAAATGGTTATGTTCGCATGCACATGGGGGAAAAAGTGCCTACGGATGCAGTCGTCCATCCGCACGGGCCACCACAGCAACCGGGACATTGCTCGACATCAATCATAACCTTGAAATTGTTCCATCTACCCCAGACCACCCTCGCAGCCCAGATTGATCGGGGAAGGTGGGCATGCTTAATGAAGTGGTCATTGCGGCGTTCATAGGCATCGTGATCATGTTTGGGCATACTCTGAGCATGTTCTGCACGTACATTCCACATTCGATCATATGCCCTCTTGCCGAAGCGTGTCCAGTCTTCCTCTTGAGCTGCAGGGTGCTCGTCATAGACAACGTGCACCCATCCTTGGCTGTGGTAGTATCCGAGACCAACAGCAAAGGAAGATCCAACATCGGCGTTGGCATAGACGATGACGATGAGATCATCTATGTGGGATGAGAGTGTGACAGTGTCCCCTATAAACCTGCGTGGGTAGGTGCCGCAGCGGGCGAATCCAGAGTACGAAGCAGTCTTGTCATCAAGTGTAAATTCACGCCGCGTCTCATTGGCATCCTGGTGATGAGCAAGATAGAGTGTCTTGAACTCTGGATATGCCACGGGAATAGTGTCAATAATTGGAATCCTGTCGAAGCTAGACCCAGAGGATACCAAATTGATAGTGACCAGATTACCCCGAAAGTCACTGCATGCTAATATGGCCTTGAAATAAGGTGGGGTGTCACGAGAGGGGATGACGGGCAAGCACACTTTGATGCCCGCATTGTTGACAGTGAATGTGCAAAGTTGCTGGCTGAGCGATCGGGCACACCATCTCAACCATGCCAGTCTGTACCAGTGCATCGGGTTGGTCGCGATCTTCGCGGAGTTACGCTGGATGTACCAGGGGTTCCCAAGTTCGTTCCGTTCAATGTGCTCCATATGATTAGTCTGTCGACAAATTCGTTGGTCTCCACCTTCCTGATGTTGCCACGATCACGAAAGTCGCTTGGATCTTCTGCCAGGACACTGCCCGCCCGCAGCTTCCATGGATTCCATGCGAATATGCTCTGATCGTTGGATACGCGGATGATTTCTAGTTGTAGCCTCTCAAATGCCTTCTCCCCCTCTCCATACAACATCGGCATGTTTACTCCAAACAACCCCATCAACGAGTATGCCCGGTCTTCCACGCGCGTTGTCTTTCGGTCAGCCGCCCACGACATGATTTGCGCGACACTGAGACGCTGCCCAGCCAGGCCGTCCTTCAAAAGTTCCCGGGGAATGTGCGTAATTCTCTCCAACATCAGTGCAAGTTGCCGTTTGCAACCAATAGACACCCAGTCCTTGTTGAAGAATTCCATCCGCCTGGGTGCGATGAGTTCCTGTAGTGTCCAACCCCGCACAAACCACTCCGGCCAGCCATTGGACTTGTCGAACTTGTTGCCATCTCGCTGGACAGGGAAGACCGACTCGTCAACATCGTTGAGGTACGCATAGCACACCTGTGCATTTTGGTACCACCGATACATCGAATTGATGGCTTCCGATAGCTCTGAACTACTCCGCTTGTCGATGCAGCAGGTATCTATCCACAACCATTCGTAGCCGTCGTTCATAGCTTGCTCACAGCTCTTGATGATCTTCTGGTAGCCGTCGCGCCGCCTGACTTCGTCTCTCTTCCGCTCCTCCATCTTCATGAGCCCAATCATCTCTTTGTAACCGACTTCGGCGCCCCAGCGATGTGACAATATCGCATAACGAGTACCTTTGTCATCAAGCTCCTTCAGAACTTCACGTTCAGGATCGGTTTGTTGGATGTCCGTTTCCCGGTCGAGAACAGCTCTCACGTCTAGTAACTTCATCTTTCTAAGAGGTCAATACAATGTTCAACATGTCAACAAGTTATCACACATACCCCCCAGGTTTCCCAGCGTAGGACCAAAGGCGGCGGAAGACCGATGCTGGTTGCTGGTCACAGATCTTAAGAGAGGGATGCAAGTGTTGGACGTGAGCGTCAGTTGCAAAATTTTATGTATATTCGGCTGCCATGCGGAACAGGCCTTTCAGACACGGACAGCGGTCCCTTGTTCGTCATCCTGTCTATAAGGCGCCTATCAAGACACGAGGCAGTTAAATGGAATCTCCACGTAGTACATTTCAGTCAGTTCTCTCTGCGGTGACAGTTACGGTGGCATCTCCGTGGACCCAATTGTGTACCACCGGCGTGGGCACAGATAAGTTTACTCAGGGAATCATTGCTAGGGCAAGGGAGTCTTTGACATTGCCTTCGTAGTCAGGCACCAGTATACTGGGGTACTCTGCAAAGCGCCGACCTCCGGTCCGAGGGTGTACAGTTGTATGGCTACAGGACCAGCCCCCTTCCCCCCCAACTGTGTGCCGAAATCTCATCTCGGTACGCTGTGCAATACTCCTAGTCACGGGGAGTGTGCCATTGGCCCCTCATGAGATTATGAGAACAGAACTCACTTAACTGACATTCAATCTTCACACAGCGCGCAACTACAGCCCGGTTGTTCGATTATAATTATTTGCGCGATTTGCGCGATGTACCACTGGCATCGAGTTACGTCTACGAAACTACCCGAAGGAATACCAGTCCACAACAACCTTCATTTGGAAGTGACTTGTCGTAAGACTTCTTTCGCACTCGGTAAGACACTTATTGGCCAATGAGAGGACTCGCTCAAGCGCGAGAGAGTCGTTAACAGCCGAATCGCGTGGTTGTTTCCCGGATGATCTTTGCCAACGTACGTGTGCAGCTGTGGTCGCCTGCTTCTTGAATCTGCACCCCGGCGACATGGTTTTTGATGCCCATGTATGCATGTCGTTTCTCATTCAGTTGACTTTCTGTTTCACTTATGGAGCGCCGAGTGGACATGCGCTGGAACATATCCATAGAAGAGAGCGCTAAACACGAACCTGATACGTTGGCTTGCTTGCGGCATAGCATTGAAAGGGGGTGAGCCGAGTGCAGACAAACTAGAAAGTTATGCGGCACGTTCTTAACAATGTGATATCAGCGGACGACCATCTGTTTCTGGACGGCATCAGGAATCTGCAGGAGAGGGTGGTCAGCATCTCCAACAGGGGTTCGGTGCGTTTAGGCAGGTTGTTCCCGGGGATTTCTCCGAGACTTTGCTGGGGCGATCTGCGTGGAGCAAGTGACCGATGCAGATTGCCAAATTGGAGCAGGAGTTGCCCAGAATCGATCAGATGGAGGAATTACCAACGCTACTTATGAAAATCTGACCTTACGCCCGATATCAAACTGAGTATGCACGGGCCATCATTATCCTGCAATGTCTGGATTCATACTGATTTTCGGAACATGCTTCTCCTCAGGATACTGTGGGCAGCAAGTTCGATTGACAGCATTCAGCAATTACCGGATCACCCTGACATTTGCACTAGGAGATGCCGCATTAGTATAATGACATGATAGGCCGATGCCTCCAGAAACGTTGGAGAGGTGTCCATGAAGGAAGGTTTTCATGTTTAATTATGCAAGCACGTAAGTGGAGTGTATCGCAGGTTAGTATGAAAATGACCTCAGACCTCAAGCTAGCACTGCATGTGTACGGTACAGGCAGCACTTATATCAAGGACAGTGACACTATACGTCGTGGGTTCCCAGCGTTTCGGCGAGCCTGAGGTTGAACGAGGCGATCCGATTGGCGTGAGGTACACCGTACCGCAGACTGCCAGGGATTCTATATCATTCCCCAACCTCCTCGCTAAGAGAATGACTGCAACTCCTTTCTGTACACTAGCCACGGTTCGACACTGCCAAGCCATCGCTTGTGCGACACGTGGGTGCCAGCGTAGGGTTGTGTAGGCGTAGTGACTGAAGATCATGCATTCTTTCAAGGCACTATTGGCTTAGCTGCCTGTTCCCGCAACTGCAATTGGATCACTTTCTGAACCTCTGTTGTTTCATCGTGCTCGTGTTCACCACCAGGGATTCGGCCCCCACTTTTTGCAAGGAGTGGCCGCGGTCGATGACCGAACGTGGTACGGCTAATGAGTACTCTTTTTCCAATACAGGACATCGGCCTAGAATGGGAGACAGCAATACTTGAATTTGTCCCTTGGACTCGTCTCGAATTGTTTAATGTACAGAAGGTTACTTCTTGTATAAACTATTATTACAACAAGATTAGACCAGGAGACTCGTTACTTCGTGGAACCAGCTAGTAAGTGTTGACTACGACATTCTCAACAACTTCACGATCACCATCAGCAAGGTGAATTTATCCAAACGAAGTTACAGCACGAGGACATACTTACCAAAATCCATGTTAGTTACACCGCTGGCGTGGGGGGCGTTTGAAAGCTTGTACTTGGGCCTTGCATGTTGGTGTTGGTGTCCCACGGAACAATTGTGCCAGACCACTTCGCTTGCTCTGCAGCCCGAGCAGCAAGCAGCAACTGATGTTTCGATGTGCCCGCTCCTGCATCAAACAAGATCCTAGAACAATGTATATCCAGCGATTTATATCGATGCGATCCGCCAAATGGTGATACCTACCGCTGCAAGTGAACTTGATCATCGCTTGGGTTTGCTAATGGACCCGTCATCAACGAATTTAAGATTGCCCGTAATCCCTACTGACGGCGGTGACATTGCCACGGTCAAGCGTGGGACGCCACTTACCACGAACTTGCGTTCGCTCCGAATATAATCCGCAACCTGAATCATGTCAAATGACATCTATGGAGGTCAGAGAGTTGACTCGCCTGTGGTAACAATTGGTCCACTTCTGCACAGATCCCACACCAACAGAGCCATAGGATCTATTAACAAATCGGCAGTCAGTGTCAAAAAGTAACAAGTTGATGCTGTACTTGCCTTGCCTGTGACGTCCTCCTCCAGTGCTCGTTGTTCGTCTTCATCCTCTATTGCATTAGGTTTCGCTTGGAGCACCTCCATCTCTCGTACCATGGAATGAAAGTCGAGTTGCCTACATACGGCGTTCAAGAGGCCGACTGCTGAACGTCAGTGGATATGGTGCTGACCTATCATATTCAATGCACCTTCCCACATCTATCGATCTGGAGTATTGCATGGTAGAAAACCGAAACAATCCGATGTAATAGAAGTCCTCACGAGTGCTCAATCCCAACGGATGCAAAGTCGAAGGTAGTCCATATGTAATTGAGTAGCTTTTTGAGATTCGAATTAGCTCCAACCCCCTCTTGCCAGTAGCAACACTTACACCAGCACCCAGACTATGTGCTACGGACTTCGACTCGTTCTGCACTTTTTGCATTTCATCATACCGACGCGATGTAATATCCCAAGCAGAAAGAGTCTGGCACCGCCTGCACAACTGAGGTAACACAACTTCAAGCCGTGGATCTCGTGCAGCATCAAGTTGGCGGCTGCCCACAAATAGATTACACGTCATTGCCCAATCAGTGCACGACAATCTTGGTGCGCTTGCTAGTAATTCGTCTTCTAGAGCTGCGATGTAAGTATGCGGATGAGTATGCTTGTGTGTGATCGGCTAACCTTCTGCGGTGCCTACAGAAACCTCGCTGAGTGAATCGGTTTCAATCGCCCAGGGGAACCGTTCGAAGAATGTAATTTCACCGACCTACATTTAACGGTGGGTGTGAGCGAGACGAGGCAGTGAAAATATGAATCCGCACGTAATTTCTCAGATACTTGAGACCGAACATGTCCGAGAAGAAATTTATCGCACGATCTTTCTTCTGTCTGTGCTATTGCCATCCCAAGGGTGAGTTTGTGTTTGACAGCTGTCACGCCTGGAACGCACTACAGACTTGTGACGGGCTCTGGGACCTGTAATTTCGTGCTGAACATCTGTGGTCAGCAATGAAAGCCCAAAACGTGATAAGAAAAGGTACCATATTCACGAGGGCGTAGAAGTGTTTTCTACATGCCGAAACACAGCATCAGAATAGCAGCACACATAGTGATCCCATTGGCTTACCGAATACTTTGGAACTGTTCCCTTCTCTGTCGACAAGGCGGTTCTTTTCGCCAGACTTGGGGGCTTGCGACCGCATATAGTGGAGTCAAAACCCGTGGTTCTCTAGAGTGGCTCCCACTGTCTGAGGCTGGTTCTGATACTTGAAAGTCAAAAAGTCAGGGTGCGATCCTTGTGGAAAACCCACCGCCCCCCGAGTCCCTTTGTTCTCCATCATCATCAAATGTACAGAAATCTGAGCATTTTATGACCGCGATCACCAAATGTTTGCCTGCAGCACGGGTGGATAGGGCTTTCAGTAGCAACACAAAACATTCGTTGACAGGAAGTGAGAGGCCCTTCGATCGACGCAGCGCCAGGTGCATCCCCTCGTCATGATATGCCACCGTAAGATCATACTCATTCTCCATCATTGGTACTGCATAGTCAGATTTGCTGGAGGCCGTAGAGCAATCAGCCAAATCCATGGTGTTGATACCAAGTGTACGCATATCCTCGTATATATTTCCAGTGCATATAAGAGTGCCATTGGAATAATCACCGTAGTCACCCAGCTGGATATATCAGGCTCATCACTAAGGTGGGTATGCAGGGCATAACTCACCGCAATCTGTTGACCAGAACACTTGTCAAGCCGGACTTGACACCCGTCCAGGTGCAAGCGATAAGTGTGGCGAACCGGGTTCATAGGCCCCGGCATATCAAGGCCACTCCAATCGTTCTATGATAACACAAATGGTCAGGACCGCATGCACACGGGGGAGAAAGTACCAACTGATGTAGTTGTCCATCCGCGTGGTCCGTCACAGCAACCAGGACATTGCTCAACGTCAACCATGAGCTTGAAGTTGCCCATCTCCCGTCGCCCCCAGACTACCCTCGCAGCCCAGATTGATCTAGGAAGGTGAGCATGCTTGATGAAGTGGTCATTGCTACGCTCGTCCTCATGCTCTTGTTTGGGCATATTCCGAGCGTGATCAGCACGGGCACCGCCCATTCGATAATATGCTCGCCTGCCAAAGTCTCTCCAGTCCGTTCCTTGAGTTGGAGAGTCTTCATCATAGAAAACGTGCACCCATCCTTGGCTGAGGTAATAACCAAGGCCAACTGCAAAGCGAGAGCTGGCATCATCGTTGGCATAGACTATAACAATGAGATCGTCTTTAAGAGATGAAAGCGTGACAGAATCGCCTCTAAACTCGCGTGGGTAGGTGCCGCGGCGGGTGAATCCATGGTATGAAGCATGCTTGTCGTCAAGTGCAAACCCGCGGTGCATCTCGTTGGCATCTTGGTGATGAGTGAGATAGAGTGTCTTGAACTCTGGATACGCCTTAATGTATGGAAGGTGCAACGCATCTGAAGCTCTGTCGAAGCTGGATCCAGAGGATACCAAATCAATGCTGACCAACCCTACCTCACCATAGCCGCATGCCAATACAGCCCTGCAGTGGAACGGAGAGTTGGAAAGGGGAATGACGGGCAAGCACACCTGGATACCCCCATTGCTGATAGCGAATGTGCGAAGTGGCTGGCTGAGCGATCGGAGGCGCCACCTCAACCATGCAAGTCTGCACCAATGTATTGGGTTGGTCGCGATCTTCGTGGAGTTACGCTGGATGTACCAGGGATTACCGAGTTTGTTCTCTTCGATGTATTTCATCAGTCTGTCGGCAAATTCATTGGGTTCCAACTTCGCGATTCCGCTACAACGCCAAAAGTCGCTCGGGTCATCAGCCAGGACACTGCCTGTCCGGGGCCTCAATGGATTCCATGCAAATATGCTGTGATCGTTGGACGTGCGGATGATTTCCAGTTGTAACCTCTGAAATGCTTTCTCGCCCTCTCCATACAACATGGGCATGTTAACCCGGAACAACCCCATCAGCGAATATGCCCGATCCTCCACGCGTGTCGTCTCCCGCTTAGCTGCCCAGGACATAATTTCTGCGACACAGAGACGCTTCACATCCAGGCCGACCCTCAAAACTTCGGTGGGAATTCCGGTGATTTCCTGCAACACAGGTGCAAGGCGTCGTTTGTTGCCAATCGACACCCAGTCCTTGTTGAAGAACTCGACTTGCTTTGGGGCGATGAGTTCCTGTAGCGTCCAGCCTCGCACAAACCACTCTGGCCAGCCAAAGGACTTGCCAAACTTGATGACATCTCGCCTGACAGGGAAGACCGACCCATCAACGTCGTTGAGGTACGCATAGCACACCTGTGCATTTCGATACCACCGATACATCGAATTGATGGCCTCGGATAGTTCTGAACTGCTCCGCTTGTCGATGCAGCAGGTATCTATCCACAACCATTCGTAGCCGTCGTTCGTAGCTTGCTCACAGCTCTTGATGATCTTTTGGTAGCCGTCGCGCCGCCTGACTTCGTCTCTCTTCCGCTCCTCCATCTTCATGAGCCCAACCATCTCTTTATAGCCGGCTTCGGCGCCCCAGCGATGTGATAATATCGCATAATGAGTACCTTTGTCATCAAGCTCCTTCAGAACTTCACGTTCAGGATCGGTTTGCTGGATGTCTGTTTCCCGCTCGAGGACAGCTCTCACATCTAATAACTTCATCTTCCTAAGAGCTCAATGTAATGTTCAACACATCAATAAGTTATTGCACATACCCTCCGGTTTCCGAGCCAACGGGGTATTCTTTCACGTGGTGAGCTTCGAGCGTAGGACCAAAGGCGACGGAGGACTGATGCTGGTTGCTGGTCACAGATCTTAAGGGAGGGATGCAAGTATTGAACGTGAGCGTCAGTTGCAAAACTTTATGTATATTTGGCTGCCATGCGGAACAGGTCTTTCAAACTTGGCATGCGCTCGACACGGACACCGGTCCCTTGTTCGTCATCCTGTCTAAAAGGCGCCTATCAAAAACACGAGGCAGATAAACGGAATCGCCACGTAGCACATTTCAGTCAGTTCTCTCTGCGGTGACAGTTACGGTGGCATCTCCGTTGACCCAATTATGTACCACCGGCATGGGCACAGATAAATTTACGCAGGGAATTAGGGAAAGGGAGTCGTTTTGACATCGCCTTCGTAGTCAGGCACCAGTATACTGGGGTACGCTACAAAGCACCGACCTGTGGTCCGAGGGTGTACAGTTGTATGGCTGCAGGACCCAGCTCCTTCCCCCTAACCGTGTGCCGAAATTTCATCTCGGTACGCTGTGCAATACTCCTAGTAGCGGGGAGCCTGTCATTGGCCTCTCATGAGAATATCGGGACCCCAGCTAGACGGGCAGCTGGTAGGCAATTGCGTTTTCGGTGCTCATTCAGAATGTAGGAAGGATACGAGAAGGGAACTCGCCTAACTGACATTCAATCTTCATACAGCGCACAACTACAGCCCAGTTGTTTGATTGTAGCTGTTCGCCCGACATACCATCGAATTCCGTCTACAAAACTACTCGAGGGAATACCAGTCCACAGCAACCTCCATTTGGGAGTGACTTGTCGTAAGACTCCTTTCGCACTCGGTAAGACACTTCTGTCCAATGAGATCTGGGCTCGCTCAAGGGCGAGAGAGTTGTTAACAGCCCAGTCGCGTAGCTGTTTCCTAGATATATCATTTCCAATGTACGCGTGCAGCTGGGGTCGTCTGCTTCTTGAATCTGCATCCCAGGGACATGGATTTTGATGCCCTTGCATGCATGCCGTTTCTCATTCAGTTGACTTTCTGTTTCACTCGAGGAGTGCTGACTGGACACGCGCTGGAACATATCCGCAGAAGGGAGCGCTAAACACGAACCTAATGCGTTGGCTTGCTTGCGGCATAGCATTGAAAGGGGTTGAGCAGAGCGCAGGAAAACTAGAAAGTTATGCGGCACGTTCTTAACAATGTGATATCAGCGGACGACCATCTGTTTCTGGGCGGCATCAGGAATCTGCAGGAAAGGATGGTCAGCATCTCCAACAGGGGTCAATGACGTTGATAGGCCAACGCCTCCAGAAACATTGGAAAGCACACGATCGTCCGCGAAGAATGCCGCTCGTGACTGGCGTGACCATGGTTGTTGTTCTGGTATCCATTACACCCTCAATTCGTCCCCCCCCCCCAGGGATCCGGCTGGTGGCAGGGAAACACCCTCTTTCACGGCGCCTTAACTCGCGAGCGCTGACTGGACCCTCACAACTCGACTGATGCAAGCGAAGAATTACCACTGCTTTGTTTTTTTGTGCGACCGATTGATGCATCGCCGTCGAGTATGCCCCGATGACCATTGCGTTCGCGCTGGTCACTGTTAGCATCCTCACGGATTGGAGCTCCGTTTGGCCTCTTAAGCAATGGAGTCCTATTAGACCATACAATTTTGAATGATGATTGCCTCGATCGCCCTCTGATATCCAGGATGCCAGCTCATTTTCAACCTGCGTGGAGGCTAACGATTCAGGAATATCGTCTCTGATAATGCTCATTCTTTAACGCATGCTCGGGGACCACATTCCGATTAGCCCATGGCGAGTGCGTTGAGTGATATGGTTGAAAGGTTGATAATAGACTCTCTCGGAGGAGAGACGACGGCCACACTCGTAGACGTACCAAGTTGTGGGTCGAAGAATGTGTTGAAAGGTTCTCAGAAGCGGCGAGTTCCGGATAAACCATGATGTTGAACGCTCTCGTATAGCAGCTCGGATGAACGCTGGCGAAACCTCCTAACTACCTCGAGGTACGAGTCGTAGTGCAACCGATCCGTCTCCATCTTCCTCACTTTTTCCCCTCTATGGTGGCGGCTAGGTTGTATGGCCGCTAAAGAGTATTTCTGTACTGGAAGCGTCTGGAAATTGCGGATATCGCATGTAAGTAGAGTGTATCGCGGCATGAAAAATAACCGCAATGTCGCAAATTTCTTGGGCACGTGATAAGAACCTTATAATACATGTTAAGGGTGGCTGTTCACACTTCTGTTATAAGCCATGCCAATGCCACCCATGTGTCATTGAAAGATTGCCAAAAATGGGTATTTGTACATAATATTTTACACATTTGCACTATATCTTAGATAAAATATCACATATTTGCTATAATCTAGCCAAACCTGACCATTATAATGGCAAGTGGTCCATTACACACTGCTTACAATGGGGGCACGTGACAATGGACCAAATAAATTTGCGACAAAGGCAGCAGCCTTGGTGTGCAATTACATAAGCAGCATCTAGTACATACAGTTGATTCACTCATAATGTATACCGATGGGACCACATCAAGCCTGATACAGTATCAGCAAAATACAATATGAAAAGTCACCCATAGTGTGACTTATGTGATGGTTCAATTTCGTGACCCATACACTGAGAGTAGGTTACAGTACGAGCAACAATTTCATCCAGTGAAATTGTATGTATCAAGGGAGGTTTGCTTAGCACGAAGAAATGTTTCCCGCTGAAGGTGTGATCAGAATATGCGAAGTTGCCTTGATAAGTCAAGTGACAATCCAGCATCCCCAAATACCATACATACACTCTCGAGCTCTTCACAGAGCACCAGAACGCTCTCGTGAGTCACGGTGGGGCCTGAATCTTCCTCCTCTTCACTGTCTGAATCCACCTCGATCATGTCCCCACTTGCAGCAGCCAGTTCCTGATGAACAGAATCTGCAATTGCCTTATCAGTTAAGTCACCACTGCTCGTCTCTCATTCTTCAGCAGGGTCCACCAGCTCCTCCAGTGTGGACAGCTCAAATACATGATTCTGTTGCTGGAGACGCCTGACAGATGTCATTAGAGTTGTCTCGGCATTAGATAACTGGCCAGGGGGTGGTTTTGTGAGTGCAGGGATGCGAATTTTGAGGCCTGTGTGACAAGCAGCAGCATCAGCAAGTGGTTCAATGGCCTTCACAGCTATAGCAACATCTCCTTCAGCATCCATAACCACTGTGAGAGCTGGACACCAATCTGTGTTGACATAGGAATTCCCAAGGCAAGCTTCCAAACGAGCTTCTGCTTCAGGCAAGTTCATTTCTGTTGTCGCAAATTCACGAATAATTTGCCACCCAGTGGAATCAGCATGAGCTGGATGTGAACTTGATGTGGCCTGCATATTTGGGCTTTCTCTAGCATTGGTGTGAGAGTCAGCAACTTTGCAGATCTTGTTTGCAGGTAACAATGAACTCACGGCTGAATTTCTGTGTGGTCCCAACAGTGCTTGATAGTGTCTTGTGAGACAGCATTCCACGCAGACTTTGCCATTAGCATTGCTTCAAGGAGATCGATCTTGAAAATTTCTTGCGTGCCTGCTTCATCAAGTTCAACAGCACAGGCACAAAAATTGCAGCAGTAAATAGCTTTGAAGCAACGAATAATTCCGGCATCACAAGGTTATACAAACGAGGTTAAATTTGGTTTGAAAAACTCAATCTTGATGTTTGTTGGCTCATAATTGATTTTATGGCCAGGGAAGTTGTCAATTGATAACAAAACATAATGGTTTTGCTGTTTCATTCTGAGGTCAAATTTCTTTACCCACCTTAATGAATAAATAGGAGTTTAATATATTTCAATTTTTGAATGATAAGGTAAGGGACTTACTCCTCAAATAATGCAGCCATCATCCAAGCTTTCTTGTTGAACCGATAATAAAATCCCCATTGCTCGGGGGTCAGGTTCTTGAAGCAGCGAGGCTTTCCAAATTTCCCAATAAGGAATGGCTCTAACTTTTCACTACCATCAGCATTGCAAGCAAGGCCAATTGTGAGGCAGAATTTTTCCTTCTTTTTGCCACTCATCTGCTTCATGGCAAGACCTCGATCAGGTGGAGCACTGACAGTAGCTTCAAATCAGCAATTGGTCAGCAATAATTGAGTATGACTTACTAGGGGAAGAAACCAGTCTCGTCGAAGTTAAAGCGATCTCTTGGTGCAAACTTAGCCAATATTGGGCGAAATCAAGCCTGTTCTGCTTCAACTGCTTCTAAGTCAACTGAGCCAGCCTCACCATGCCTCCTGCGCTCTCGAAGATTGTATGCCTTGCAAAAAGATGGAATCCATCCTTCTCCAAGCAGCCTCTTGTTCTCTGGTACATTGAACTCCTTTTCAAACTTGGCTCACTTTTCTCAAAGCATGGGCCCTGACACTGTCTCACCCCTGTTCTCCATATGGTAAACCCAAAGAATGAGGGCTCACTCTACATCTGGTCTGGTTACAATACGAGGGCGCTTTGAAGACAGTGCATTAGGATTGTGGTTAATACAAGCTTCTAATGTCTGTCAGCCATGGAGTTTACGTGATAGAGTAGCTTGTGTGAAGATGAGAGCCCCTGACTTCAGGGTTTGAAAGTGCTCAACAACTTGCTTTTGTGGAAGAGCTGGGTGAGCATCAACATAAGCAAAGACAATCATCCAGTCACTGAGAGTGAGGTTTGACCGTGTGGTGGACTGTGCCAGCTGAGCAGAAGTAGCAGGGCTCGGAGCAGCATCCAGTGCCTTTCTTGGCTTCTTCGCAGGTTGGTTGTCGTTGTCCTGGTGGGGATTGCGGGCTCTTGGTTTGTGCTTCTCAGAAGGCATCATTGATGTTGGTAATTACTGTAACCTTAACCTCAGATTGCATTCATCAAGTATCTGATTGCAGGACAATGTGTTGTCGGACAATGAGCTGTCCCATCCTGCCAAATTGGATATATCATAATGTATATTTCTCACACTGTTCCAATACAGTATACATTATCCAAAATTTTCCAAATTCCCTGCTGCCCACAATGGGACTGACGAAAAGTCAATACAATATGAGAATTATACATTACAACCTCTTGCATTATGAGCAAGTCAACTGTACATCAAAAACACCATAGGTGCGTCTGGCAACTTGGTTCCCAGCGTCGCGCCGAGCCTCGTGTAGGACGAGACGATTTGATTCTACAAAGACTGTCAGGGATTCTATATCATACCCCAAGCTTCTCGCTAAGAGAAGCAAGTCCCGGCAGTACTATTTTCTTAGCTGCCTGTTCCTGCATCTGCAGTTGACTCACTCTCTAAACCTAGTCGGGGTGGCCCAGTCGAATCTGCCGGAGATGCGTCACCACGGTCATCGTCTCCCGTATCCACTACTACGCATTGGCCTTCACTTGCCACGAGAGTAGCTGCGATCGATAAACGGGAGGTACAGCCAATGCCGATGAGTGCTCTTTTCCCAATGTTGAATGCAGCCATGGGAGACGGCAATCTGCACATGTACTACCATGCTACAGACAAGGTGCTTGGAATCGCCCTTGGACTCGCCTCGAATTCTTTTCTGTACAGAAGGTTACATCTACATCTCGTACCTTAATCTACTACTACAAGGTTAGACAAGGAGACCCGTTGCTCTGCAGAACCAGCTAGTATGTGTTGACTACAGCCTTACCGCATTCCTATGAACTTCACGACGGTCGTCGATAAGATGAATTTATCCCGACGATGTTAAGGACATACTTGGCAAAATCCGTGTTTGCTAAACCAACGATGTGGAGGGAGTTTAAGAACTTGTACTCGGACCTTGCGCGTTGGTGTTGGTGGTGCCCCTCGGAATAGTTGTACCTGACCACTTGGCTTGCTCCGCAGCCCGAGCGTCAAGCAACAACTGATGTTTCGATGTGCCCGCTCCCGCATCAAACATAATCCTAGAATAACGTATATTCAGATTCATATCGAGGCAATCCGCCAAATGATGTCGCCTACCGCTGCAAGTGAGCTGGATCGTCAGGTGGGTCTATTAATGAAGACATAGCCAACGCAAGCTCACGTAGCCCCTGCTGACGGTGGTGATGTTATCACGTTCGAGCGTGTGACTCCACTTACCCTCAAGTCATTTTCTCTCTGGAGGTAATTCACAACCTGAACCACGTCAAACGACATTTATGGAGCTAAGAGGGCTGGCTTGCCTGTGATAATAGTTCGTCCACTTCTGCGCAGATCCCACTCCAACAGAGCCACAAGATCTATTAACGAATGGACCATGAGTGTCGAAAGGTAACAAGTTGGTGGTGTCCTTGCCTTTCCTGTGACGTCCTCCGCCAGCGCTCGCTGTTCGTCTTCATCCTCTGTTGCATTAAGTTTTTCTTGGAGCGCCTTTACCTCTTCTACCATGGAAGGAGTGTTCAAATGCCTACACATAGCGTTCAAGGCGTGGACTGCTGAAAGTTGGTAGATATAATGCCGACCTATCATATTCAATGCCACTGGCTGGACCTGTCCGTCTAGAGCCGGAAAGCATTGAAGGATAGAAAAAGAAAGAATAAAAGTACTCACGAGGATTCATGTTCAATGCGTGCATCCTTGAAGGTAATCCCTATGTATTTGAGTAGCTGTTTATGATTGGAATTAGCGTCTACCGATTTGGGCTGATACAAACACTTACGCCAGCACCCAGAGTTTGTGAGATGGACTTCAACTCGTACATCACTGTCACTTTCTGCTTTCTAGCAGCATACCGACGCGATGTGTCACATGATTCATCAAAAGTTCGACACCGCTCGCGCAAGAGAGGTAACACAACTTCAAGGCACGGGTGCTGTGTAGCACTGGGTTGTCGGCTACCCTTAAATAGGCGTGCTAGTAAACCATGCTCTAAAGCAGTAATGTAAGTTTGCGGGCAAAAATACTTAGTGTGGAGGGTCAACCTTCCGTAAAGCTTACAATAACCTCATTCGGTGAATCAGTTTCCATCATCCAGGGGAGCCTTTCGAAGAATGTTATTATGCCAACCTACAATTGACGGGAATTATGAGAGGGACGAGGCTGTGAAAAGAAGAGTACGCACGTAATTTCTCAGATGCTGGAGACCAAACATGTCTGAGAAAAATTTGATTGCTTCATCTTTCATCTTTCTATTCTGTTGCCATCGTAAATGAATGTTTGTGAGTTTCATATAGTTCCCCAACACACCACGGACTTGTGACGGGCTTCAGGTCCTGTAAATTCCTGGTGAAGATCGTGTGATCAGCGCGGGCAAACGCCAAACGGGATAAGAGAAGGTACCATATTCACGAGAGCGTAAAAGTGCTCCCTACAAAACATCAGTAACAGCACACACAGCGACCCCGTGGGCTTACCGAATAATTCCGAGCTGTTGCCATCTATGCGAACAAAGCGATTTTTTTTCCCAAACTTGCGGCCTTCCGACGGCACATAGTGGAGTCAAAATCCGTGGCTCTGTGGAGTCGTTCCCATTATCTGAGGCACAGTCTGATATTCGAAGTCAAAAAGTGAGCAGAGTACTTGTGGAAAACTTACTGTCCCCTGAGTGCCTTCGTTTGTCATCGTCAATTCGTTTTCCATCATCGTCAACCCTATAGAAATCTGAGCATTGTACGACTGATATCACCAATGTTTTGCCTGCAGCACGGGTGGACAAGGCTTTCAGTAGCAGTGCAAAATGTTCGTTGGCGGGAAGCGAGAGGCCCTTCGGTTCACACAAGACCAAGGGCTCCGAGGAATTATTCGCCACAACGAGATCATTCCAATTCTTCCTGTGATTCGTTGCAAATTTACCGCTAGATATGCGGGAGACTACGGGGCGATAAACTGAGTCCATGGGATTGATGCCAAGGGTGCGCATATCCTCAAATATATTGCCAGTGCGTGTAAAAGTGCGGCAGGAATAGTCACCATAATCACCCAGCTGGTTATATCAGGCTCGAGACAAGCATATAGATGCATGGCAAGACTCACCGCAACCCATTGACCAGAACACCTCTCGAACTGTGCCTCGCACCCGTCCAGCTGCAACTCATATGAGTAACTATGCGTGTTCATAATCCCTGGCCGATCCAGGCTACTCCATTGGATCTATGAATGCAAATGGTAAGGTCTGCATGCACATGGGAGAGAGAGCACCAACAAATGCAATCGACCATTGGCACGGCCCATCACAACAACCAGCACACTGCTCGACATCGAGCACAACGTTGAAATTGTCCTTCTCCTTCCACCTCCTGTAAATTATCTTTGCAGCCCAGATTGATCGGGGAAGATGGACATGCTTGATGAAGGGTTCACGGGAGTCCAACCGGTGCCGTTGTTCGGCCATACTCTGATATTTTGCACGTCCACTCCACATTCGATCATATGCTCTCTTCCCAAAGTCCCCTTGAGCTGAAAGGCGATCATCGTAGACGACATCCATCCATCCTTGGCCACGGTAACATCCGAGACCAAGGGCAAAGCGAGATCCGGCACAGTCGTTGGCATAGACTACAACAATGAGATCGTCGGTGCGAGAGGAGAGTGTCGCAGTATCGCCTATGAAGTCGCGTGGATAGACGCCCCGACGGGTGAATCCATGGTACAAGGCATGCTTGTCATCGAGTGTAAATTCTCGGCGTGTCTCATTGGCGTCTTGATGATGGGTAAGGTAGAGTGTCTTGAACACTGGAAGCGTCTTGAGAGCGCCCGTGATGCCAAAGCTCTTGTCATAGCTGGATCCAGAAAATACCAAATCGATGGTGGCCAGACCCCATCCATCGTTTTCAGTACATGCCAATATAGCCCTGAAATGAAGCGGAGAGTCGCGGGAGGGAGTGATGGGCAGACACACTTGGATACCCGCACTGTTGACAGAGAATGTGTGAAGCTGCTGGCTGAGCGACTGAGCACGCCTCTTCAACCAAGCAACTCTGCACCAGTGTATCGGGTTGGTCGAGATCTTGTGCCAGTTAAGCCAGATATGCCAGGGATTGCCAAGGTCGTAGAGGTCGATGTACTCCACCAGTTCCTTGACAAACTCATCGGGTTCCAACTTCTTGATTTTTCTACAACCCCGAAAGTCGCTTGGATCCTCTGCCAGAACACTGCCCGACCTTGGTTTCTGTGGATTCCATGCAAATATGCTTTGGTCGCTGGATATGCGAATGATTTCCAGTTGCAGTCTCTCAAATGCCTTTCTTCCTTCTCCGTACAACATGGGCATGTTCACTCCGAACAACCCCATCAGCGAGTATGCCCGATCTTCCACGCGCGTCGTCTCCCGCTCAGCCGCCCAGGACATGATTTGTGCGACACTGAGACGCTCTGCAGCCAGGCCGTCCTTCAAAACTTCGCATGGAATTCCCGTGACTTCCTCCAACCTGGGTGCAAGGCGCCACTTGTTGCCAATGGATACCCAGTCCTTGTTGAAGAATTCGACTTTCTTTGGTGCGACGAGCTCCTGCAGGGTCCACCCCCGCACGAACCACTCCGGCCAACCGTTGGACTCGGGAAAATTGCCGACATCCCGTTTAGTAGGGAAGGTTGATTCATCGACGTCGTTGAGGTACGCATAGCACACCCCTGCATTTTGGTACCACCGATACATCGAATTGATGGCCTCGGATAGTTCTGAACTACTCTGCTTGTTGATGCAGCAGGTGTCGATCCACACCCACGCGTAGCCGTCCTTCTCAGCTTGCTCGCAGCTCTTGATGATCTTTTGATAGCCATCGCGCTTTCTGACTTTGTCCTTCTTCTGCTCCTCCATCTTGATGAGTCCGGTCATCTCTTTGTAACCGACCTCCGAGCCGTCGCCCCAGCGATGTGATAGTATCGCATAACTTGTGGTCTCGTCATCACACTCCTTCAGGACCTCACGTTCGGGATCCGTCTGTTGGATGTGCTTTTCCCTGTCGAGAACAGCTTTCACATCTAATAACTTCATCTTCCTCACAGATTAACGTGAGGTTCAACACGACCTGAATAAGTTGTCACACGTACTTTCTGTTAGGCGCCCGAGCCTACACAGTATTCTTCCACGTGGTGGGCTGCGAGTGTAGGGCGAAAGGCAAACAGAGGACCAATGCTGGTTGCTGATCACAGGTCTTCGGGGAGGAACACAGGTGTGTTGGATGAGTGCCAGTTGCGGGGTTATATATTCGGCAACCACGTGGAACAGACTGACATGCGCTCCATGCGTGGACGCTGGTATTATTATTATTCATTATTCGGTCTTCGAGAGCTCACCAAGAACATGAGGCGATAAGACCATTTAGAGTATACTCCGTCTGTAGCTGCAGATACGCCCGACTGTGTGCCACCACAACAGCGAGGGCACAGATGAATTTACACAGCAAGCTTTGTTGGTCCAAGGGAGTCTTATTGTCATCGTGTTGGAAATCAGGCAGGAGTCACATAGGATACTAGTGTGCACTACAAAGTGCCGACCTTCGGGCTAGCTGCGTGCAGGAATGACATCTCAGTACAGTGCAGTAGTCCTACCTACTTTACGGTCATCACATTGCTGTGTGGCTGATCCGAAATTGAGGTATCAACAATTGCAGGTCAAGAGATCTGCAAATCACAGACGGATTTCGCTAAGCCACAAGTCGTGCTGACTTCGCCCAGGAAACGTGTGGGCAGTGTTGAGCGATACTGTTCCCCGGCCGGAAGGGCCCATGGCAGCCACACTCGAAAAGGAAACGAAGGTAAAGTTAACTCGCTGTCGGAAGCATCAAAACAAATTTGTCAGACACGCACGCTTCGTAGCCAGGTGTGAACGGCGCGACCTCTTCGAGGCTTCTTCTATAACTACCTCGAAGTATGAGTCGTAGTGTATCCGATCCATCTTCCCTGCTAGGGAACCGTCCTTTACAAAACCTGCGTTGCTTGCTTGCACGTATCATGGAGACTAGGTTGTATGGTCTCTGCAGAGTATTTTGGTGGTGAAAGCACCTCGAGAGAGGCTTTAGGGGGGGGAGGTCTTTGTGGAACCCTTTGTCATTCAAACCTTCAAAGACGGACTTGGGTGCATTCGGAGTGCAGGTAGGATACGGGAAAGGGAGCTCACCTACATGACATTCCAGCTGCGCATGGCACGCATCCGCAGCTCGTTTGTCCAATCGGGACGTACCATCCAGCGAGCTTTTCCAACAAATGTGTGCAGGTAATGTCTCGGCTGCTTCTGGGCCCCAGCAGCATAGCTTTCAATTCCTATATGCGCTCCGTTTCTGGCAGTCAGTCTACTTTCTGCTCCGCTTAGGGACTGCCAAATAGATACATACCAGAACGTATCAGCAGAAGAGAGCACCAAATGTGAGCTTGACCTATTGGCTTGCTCGCAGCATAGCATTGAAAATGAAGTGCAGGACTAACGTAGCTGTGAACAAATCCAGCACGGGCAATCGCCGTTACAGGCTGGAGGCTGAAACAATGCAAGCACCATCCCCGGCGCCAGGGATTCTATGTATTTGACCAAGTTGTTCCTGTGTAGCGTTTCCCTGACCCCTTTGCTGGAGCAACTTGAGGTGGACGGTTCAAAACTCCTCGACACTTGGCAAAAAGTTCAAGTGTCCCTGTCAGCATATGGACCTATGGTCAACAATTAGCCTAGTGCTTGCACTAACCGCCTCCTTGTTGACGTCTACACGTGACCACGCTTCATGGTATCGTTGAGACATCTCGCTTCCAGCTACGACGTTCGGAGAAGCTTGACTTCACTCCGGACATTGCGCGTATTACTGCATCCTCAGCGCCAACCTTGCATATTCTGGTTCCCTTGTCGACATCCCTGTCGCGCATTCCCTGCCATCCCTCTCCTCACACAGTGCAACGCGGCACAACTGCCATGCTGCTTGTGAGTACTTAGACAGTCCATCTTTATGTATGAAAAGGACTATCTTGATGTTAAGCGAAGAATTCTGACGGTAGACAACCTGGAAAACCCTGCTAAATACTCCGTTTCCTCAGATCTAATTCTTCTAGTGCTGACACTGAGTTGTTACATCTTTTTGGGTGGAGAGGCAGATGTCAAATACGCCCCACACGAGAAGTATTATCAAACGAAACTTCGTTATGAACCATAGTGCAACCCTCCATCGGCTTGCTCATAAGCAGGCGAAGAACCCACATACATATATGCAACGTTGAGATCCGGGGGGCATGCGGCTACCGATTTATCTATTGGTTGGTTATGTATTAGGCGGTTGAACGCCAATTACGTAATATACTAATTATATGGAACCCTCTTGAATTCTTAACCTGATCTTTCTCGCTGATCGTGGAGGGGTTTCCGCGCGGCGTGTCCGCATGGTCGGTACAAGCTTGTTCCCTGCAGCTGCGATCGTGGTATGGCACTTATCTGGTTATGTAACTCGAGTCTTGCGTCGGTGGAGAATAGTCGGGCCTAAAACCCTCTAAGTTCGGGATTGGACCTTTCTAATTGAGGTTGTGGGGTATTTGTGCCATGTGCAGCATTCCCCTTCTCCCCCCTTTCACGTATCTGCGTATCTCCTTAAAATGAAATGCGCATGGAGATTGTCTGTCCCTGTGTGTATCTCCTCGACTCCCATTCCTTTCCATATCCTCACGACGATTGTCTACATTCACGTCTAGAATGGCCGGCTTGGAGCTGGACCGCGAGATTCCTGCTGCTTTAGCAGTGGTCGAACGCCATGAGAAAATTGCCTACGACTATGATCTGCAGAAGAAGGGTACAATATCAGATGAAACTGCCGATAAGGCTGATCCTGTTCACGAGGGATTGGAGTTTCCAACCGAGGAACAACTCGTCACTCTTCGCAGAGTGTCAGACACCATACCGTGGACCGCTTACAGTTTGTTTATACTCTTGTGCACGTACCTGCGTTTCCTGACGTAGTTTGATAGTGATCGCTGTCGTGGAGCTGGCTGAACGGTTTTCTGTGAGTATTTATTTTTTGTGACATTTGAAGTTGAACCCACTGAGGAATTTTTGCGCCATGCATAGTACTATGGTATGTATTCTTTGACTTTCCGTATCAGCTCTTCAACTTTCTTTTCCTGTGATAGGTTCAAGCGCGGTCTTCGTAAGTTTTTGCTTCGTTCTTCCCAAATGCTCAACAGCGTCTCACTGAGCGTGGCAGGTCAACTTCATTCAACAACCTCTTCCGCCCAATTCAACCACCGGCGCAGGCGGTTTGAATGGCCAATCTGGTGCTCTTGGAAGGGGCCAACAAATGTCCACGGGTCTCACGACCTTTTATCAATTCTGGTGTGTAATCCCCAGTGGGTGCTCGCCTCAGCCAGATAATCTCACCACTACGTAGGTCGTACATAACGCCTATTGCAGGTGCCTACGTTGCGGACACCTATTGGGGTCGTTACAAGACCATTTGCGTGAGCGTCGCAATTGCCATGCTTGGCCATGTTATCATGATTATCTCGGCTGTACCTGGTGTCATCGGAGGCAATGCCTCTGTTGGTCTTTTTATCCTTTCTTTGATCATCACTGGGATGGGCGCCGGCGGGTTTAAGTCTAATATCTCCCCTCTGGTGGCGGAACAGTATCGCCGGACAAAGATGTTTATTGCAGTAACAAAAACGGGGGAACGCGTTATCGTGGACCCCAGCTTGACAACGTCCAGAATTTACATGGTAAGATGTGATGTCATTTGGTCCCTATGATGTAGAGCTCATGTTGCGCCAGTATTTTTATCTCTTCATTAACATCGGCGCGCTCATTGGTCAGATAGGCATGGTATACGCGGAAAAGGTTAGAGTTACACGTTTTATCTTTATTTGACCGTTCAACCTTTCTGTCCAGCTCGTCGGGTACTGGCTGGCCTACACGCTTCCAACTGTTGTTTTCCTTCTCTCCCCTTTGGTCTTGTGGTATGGACACGGCAAGTATCACACTTCACCCCCAACGGGTTCAGTGCTCGCCACTGCGGTTCGTGTGTGGCGATATGCTATGCGCGGACGATGGAGCTGGAATCCTATCAAGACCATTCGGAACCTCACCGCCGATGACTTCTGGGAGAGTGCCAAGCCAACCAGAGTGGTCGGTGAGAAACCGGCATGGATGAGGTTTGATGATAACTGGGTGGAGGAACTTCGGCGTGGGTTTAAAGCTTGTTCCGTGTTTCTATGGTTCCCAATTTATTGTGAGCTGCCAATTTCGATGCATGTTGGGTGATGATGCGAAGCGGAACTTGCAGGGTTGTCCTACAATCAATTGAATAACAATTTGACATCACAAGCTGCCACCATGAGCACACATGGTCTACCTAACGACATTCTTTCCAACCTGGATCCTTTCGCTCTCATCATCTTCATCCCGCTGTGCGACTTGGTCGTGAGTACCCTTGCTCCTTCCCTTGTTGTCTGGTTTATGGCGACCCTACCAGTTCTACCCGGCTCTCATCCGATGGAGAATCAACTTCAGGCCCTTGCAAAAGATCGCTTGGGGGTTCTATAGCGGTGCTGCAGCGATGGTATGGGCGGCCGTCGTCCAGCACTACATTTACAAGGTAATCTCCCCAGTTCCCGTGTGATGACATCTGATGGGTACCTAATCATCAGACAAATCCATGCGGATACCATGCCGGTACATGCGTTGACAACAATGGGAATCCGTTGGTATCTCCCTTGAACGTGTGGATTCAGAGTGGATCGTGAGTACCTGAGTTTTCCCATCGCTTCTCTTTTGCGGACAACAATTCACTTATGCGTGTCTTCAGATATGTCTTGATTGCGTTCAGCGAGATCTTTGCTTCGATCACGGGTCTGGAGTATGCGTTCACTAAGGCACCGAGGAACATGCGATCGCTCGTCATGTCCATGTTCCTGTTTACAAATGCTATTGCTGCTGCTATAGGCGAAGCCTTTGTCTGTAAGTGCTTTGTTGCGCGTTGCTATGTGGGCGTATACTGACTACTGATGGTAGCCCTCTCGACTGATCCGCTGCTCGTCTGGAACTACGGTTCTGTCGCTGTTATATGTGGCGTTTCTGGTATCATTTTCTGGATCCTCGTGAGGAAGTTGAATTCGCAGGAAGATAAATTGAACAACATGGCTGAAGGACGGTTTGACTGATGATCTGGTCGCTGAGATTTGAGGCAATGAGAATGATTACTGCTGTTAAATTTAACTATTTACAAGTGTAACCGGTAACCAACGATATATGAACCACCGATGCATCATCGATCATTCCCACTCCTGAATTATGCAAAGCTTTTGGGCATTTACGGTAAGGGAACTCGAATGCCTGAAAAGTAATAGTATGGTCAGTCCATCCGAGAGGTACATACAAGGACATATGAACGACAAAGTTCAGAATTGCAGATATGTAAGTAAGCAGCTGGAGTGCGAAGTCCATCAGACTGTTGAGCTTGAACATGTGATGTGATTTTGCATTCATCCCATGCAAAAAAGACGGAAGAAAGGAATCCCAGACTTGCCTTCTGAACCGGAGCTTCGTCCTTGCCTCTGGTGTGCTCATACAGAAGCGAGTTCCCTATGCAATTGAAACTCCGACTGTAAGGTTCGACCGACGCTGTCGGCCGCCCGTCACTTGTTCAATATTCTTTTGACGTTTCTTCTACGTATCTCATTTGTGATTGATCTAGCTCTTATTCACACCCGTTCTTACTGATATCGCGTGCCTGTTCTCTCTACTATAAAAAGGGCCATGTATCTTAACGTATGGAGAGAATTTTCCTATGTACCGGAAATACAGACCTTGGTGTCTTGGAACTTTGAGGTAACCACAGGAAAGCTCCTTGTGTAGTGTCATCACAAGTGCCTCACTTTGCTGTTGCCACTACATATTTTTTTCCAGCCTATATGGTCTAACCCCAAACCCTAAATGATATCCCCACTGATACCTTCTCCACCATCTGCAGAACTGATCCCCTGCAGAGACAAAAGAGTAAGTATCCAAATACTTAATAAAAAGATGGTTAACACCCGAGTGTCCATTCACCGAGCAACAAAAGCTCGAGCATCATCCTTACCTCCTAGCCTGACGACTCAGCCTGGTGCTGAAGTCATCAACAGGTCCCTGCTTCTGAAGCTGACTCCATTAGGAAGTCAGTATTCCACCCCAGTTGGTAAGCCCATCAAGGGTAGCATCCAGAGCTACAGCAACATGGTTAAAAATGGCTCTAGGAGCCCCAGTCTGGTGTACTGTGGTGTGGCCATAGACACTCCCAGTTTGAGCCCTAGTTTGCCAGTGTATCCTGGTGATGACATTGTCCTGGAGACCTCACAAGCTAGATCTGTTAGAGTTCAGGTACCAACTCACAGAGATAGTGATGCCTTACCCAATGATGTCCAATGCAAATCCATGTCCATGTTCCCAGTGAGTGAGACAGAGGCAGAGCACACTGAATGGATGAAAGTGGTGCACAGATGATTGTGCAATTGTCATGCCCAAAGTGAAGTAAGATCAGATGTCAGAGATGCCATCAGACAGGCAGAATGACGAATGACCCCAGATGAAAGAGCACGAATCTGGAGGAGGTCTTTGTCAGTGGCAAGAAGCAGTGCTGACAAGTCTATGTCTGAGAGTGATCAATTGCCTGAAAACAAAGATCCTAAAGGGAAAGGCCCTGACCCTAAGAACTGGGGAGGTTTAAATTTTGATGATGCAGAAGTAGATCCTGATGCACAGCATGCAGCCCTTGCATTGTGGAATATGGTGAACATGCTCACCAAGGATGGTGGACTAGAACACCAACCTGGTGCACTTGAGGGAAGCCACTCGAAGAATGCAGGCCTGCATGATAAAGATGGAGGCCTTTTTTGGAGGATGATGCACTGCAGGACTGTCAAGTCTATGGAGAGGAATATACTCAGACTTCAAGTTGGTTGAAGCTGAGGTGCAGTAAGGAAAAAATAAACTGCTAAGTGTCCGCTTTTGGATTACATAATGCTGTGCTCAGTGAACCACAACTAAGGTAAAGGTGATAAACTCCAACACGCCCCTTCAGCAAGTATAGTCAAGAAGGGATTAAAAGAAAACAATACCCATAGCTTCAGAGAAATGAACATGCTTCTCCCTAGACACACCCTTAGTCAGCACATCGGCCACCTGGTCATTGGTAGACACATAGTTGACAACTACTTCTCCAGAATCCACCTTCTCTTGTATGAAGTGATGATGGATCGCAATATGTTTCATGCAGTTGTGGAACATCACATTTCGAGCCAGTGAGATAGCAGATTGATTGTCAATGAGGAGGGGAGTGGGGTTGTGTGATGACACAGTCTCGAGTTCGAGGACTAGGGTACGAATCCAGATAGCTTCCTTCATGGCAGTGCATGTGGCCATGTACTCAGCTTCTGTACTCGAGAGAGCAACAGATGATTGCTTTTTCGATGACCAGCTAACAGCTCCACCAGAAAGGATGAATGTATAGCCAGTAACAGAGTGGCAGTCATTGATATCTGCTGCCCAATCTGCATCTACATACCCGATTGTGCATGCATTTGAGTCTCACTTATAGGTAAGGCAGACATTGGGGGTGCGTCACAGATAGCAAAAAACACACTTTAGCACAGTAGAGTGTTCATGCCCAGGGCATGCAGCATGACAGCTCAACATGCCTACAGTAAAGGCAAGGTCAGGCCTCATTGCTAGCATTGCATACATGAGAGCTCCGAGAGCGCCCTGGTATGACTTGGTGTCGGCCTCTGGAATTTCTAGTTTTTTGAGCTTTAGGTTAGGCTCAATGGGGGTTGCGACGACTTGCCCCTTGCTCATTCCAAAGCGCTCGAGAATACTCTCAACATATCTCTTCTGTGAGAGCTGTATGATACCTTTATCACAGTCACGAAGTATCTCCATTCCTAAAATCCAACATGCCTCCCCCAGATCTTTCATCTCATACTCCTGCGAGAGCTGAGCCTTGACATGCTCAATGGTTGTGCGGCACTTTGAGAGTATTAGCTTGTCATCTATGTAGACAGCAACAACAATGAGTATGCTGTTCTCGACTTTAAAGAAGAGGCTATGGTCGGCCTGGCTTCGAGTGAAACCCAGGGATTCGAAAACAGTCCAAAGGTGAGAGTACCACAACTTGGGGGCCTGTTTAAGGCCATAGAGCGCTCGTAGCAGCTGCCAGACTTTGTTGCTGTCAGGAGGAAAGCCTGGAGGGGGGCAAAGGTATATTTCTTCATCTAATAGTCCATTTAGGAATGCAGATTTAACATCCATCTGATGAATTTTGAGACTGTACCCAGTGGCAAGTGCCAGGAGTATGCGGATGGTTGCAAACTTGGTGACAGGTGCAAACATCTCCATGTAGTCGATCCCATGTACCTGTGTAAAGCCTTTGGCTACCAAACAAGCCTTGTACCTCTCAATTTCACCAGTCGGCCCTCACTTGATCTTGTAGACCCATTTCGAGTCAATCAGTTTACAGCCAGGGGGCAGGGCAACTTCCTCGTACAGTCCAATGGACTTAAAGGTCTGTAATTCATCAATCATCACAGCATACCACTGATCTGCATTGGTGCGTCACATTGCATTGTTGAACGAGCAAGGTTCATTGTCATGTGTTGTGGATGCTTTGTAAGCCACTTCCTCATTCATCTCAGCCACCTCAGCCTCACTGTTGCCACATGCATGCTCTTGCTCTTGAGTGATTTTGTCGATGGGGCTTCCATCCTCACTCTCTGCACCTGAACCCTCTGGCACTGCAAGCTGTTGACTAGGTAAGGTTGTCCTGTCATAGGAATTGATGAAAAAACGATAATCATCATCTCTAGGTGGCACTTTTCATGTTCTGGTGGACCTGCAGGTCTCTCGAGGTGGAATTGGAGTTGGATAGGGCTGCAGGGGTGTCGCTTTATGCATGGTAGGTTTCGGCGTTGTCCTAGCTCACTTTACTGATGGTTTTGAGGCCATTTCAAGCGCTTTTTTAGGACTCTGGCCGCTGCCTGGCATGTTACCCTCTGAGTGTTGTGGGGAATGATCTACCTTTGATCCTGAGTGATCAGGTGTGTTGTTTGACTTGATTTCGACCTCATGGACAACATCTTCACTCTCTCCCTCACTAGACTCGAGATCCCCATCATCAGACTCCATGTGAGCACGGCCTTCCATGCCCAAAGCCCTGATGGTATCCAGGTGCGACGTATTGCCCTTTTGGGCATTCCCTCTTATCTCCACTGGTTTACTAACCATGCCTGCAGGATCTTCTTCTATCCGGATGCGATCTAGGCCTGCTGCTGTGCTTCCCTCATCAAATACTACATCCCAGGATTCGAAGACACGACCAGTGGGCTGGTGTAAGCATAGGTATGCTTTCTTGTTCTCCACAAAGCCCAGATGAATGCATTCTAAGGACTTTGCATCTAGCTTCTTCCTTTTTTCCTCAGGTATATGTATGTGTGCGGTGCAGCCAAAGGTTTGGATATGGGCCAGCGATGGCTTAATCCCTGTAAAGGCTTCATATGGTGTGACATCCTCGGAGATAGCATGGGTTGGTGATTGGTTGATTAGGTAGGCTGCATACTGGATAGCATCTCCCCAATATTTATTTGGCAGTCCAGCATCTTTTAGCATTGCCCACACACTTTCAACAAGTGTGCGGTTCATCCGCTCAGCAACACCATTCTCCTGTGGGGTATAGGCATTCGTCTTCTCGTGGTGGACCCCTGTCAACTTGAGGTAGGCCTTGAACTCATCTGAGCCATACTCCCCACTTCTGTCACTCTGAAAATAATTTGCTTTTTTGCCAGTCTTGACCTCAGCTTGAGCGAGGTAGTCTTTCACTGAGGGGAAGACTTCATCCTTGGATTTTATTAGTTTAACCACAAGGTGGTGCGAGTGAGCATCAATGAAGGTTATGAAGTAGCAGTGTCCAGTTTGGGCTGTAGTCTCCATGGGGCCACATACATCAGAGTATGTGTGGTAGAGTACTGTTGGGCTTTCAACGTTTGACCTGACAGGTATCACCTTATGGTGTTGCTTCCCTTCAAGGCAAGGTTGGCATACAGAGTTCAAGTGCTCAGTGCCAGTAAGCTCCATGCCTTCAACCATTCCTGCTTTAACCAGTTTAAGCACAGATTTTGTACTTGCATGCCCA